TCGAGCTTTAAATTTTTACATGAAAACTCAAGGATATCCTGCCCTTGTTACGTATTGTTTGTGTAACTTCGATATCTCGCCTCGATATCTCAAGAAGTAAGCTACATTAGCACATAGCGTAGTGGGAAAAAGTTGCTCGAAATAGTTGACTTAAGTAGATTGTGTTTTAAGTAGGTATGTCCGGAAAATCAGAAAAGGATTTCACAATTTAGAATATATATGAGGTGTATTTTTAACCAATTTGATAAAAGGTAACAGTGTTAATGCTAATTTTGACTACACATTCTGTAAACAAAGTTTATGACTTATTTAGTAATTTCTATAATGACTTTTTATTCAAAAATGGAACATTGCTGAATATGGGCGCTTTTACGTCAATTTTCAAACCACATTCATAAACCGACTAAATCTTATACATCATAACCACAGGAGCATTATTCATCTACCTAAAAGAAACTTGTTTTTTAATATGATCTTGGCATTTCTTATCTTTCCACCAACTCAATATTCTGAAGTATGAGTATACAGAATAGTTGTATTTTTAGATGTGTAGAGATTAGCAAAATTCTCATTATAACCTCTGTTATTTAAAATTAAAATTAGTTTTAAAGAATCATTATAATGTATTTTTAAATGTCATTATAAAATTAAATTTAATAGTCATCATTAGTTTATGGCTAAATAGTTTAATTTCTCTACTACGATATCCAAAAAATGTTTATTTCACTATTGTAAATATAAGAATCAATCTTGAAATAAAGTTATATATAACAGATTTCAGCAACGTTATACGAATTTGGATCTAGTAATACAATATTGAAGAGTATTTAGTTTAGAGTATTTTAGAGTATTTAGATTATTCGTGTACATACATATATTATATAATAATACTATTCGAAAACTGCATCATAATTATTGGCAATTATATTTAGAAGATTAATACGTCCAAGAAGTTTCTTGTAGCAGTTATACAATAAATAAGAATATATGCCATAAAAGATCGGGAGTCCGTGTTTTAATCATTTTTTCTTAGATTTTATACTACATTCTATTTAAACTGTATTTGTATGTGTATTCTAAAATTCAAATACCTTATAACTTATTATCTATTAGTTGTAAAGAAAACTATCATAGATGAGTCATTAAGAAAATATTTTCTTCTTTAGAATCGAGATTAATATTTTGTAAACACAGTGCTTTAAAGTGGTATCACAACATAAAAACTGATGCATTCATTTGTGTACCAACAAACCCATATTCAGTAAAAGGCCTGCTATACGACATGCATTTACACTACTTTGGTAGTATTTTTAGATTTACATATTCTTATTATTTTAGTTGAAAATATATATTTTTCATATATTTTATTGTCAGTTCCAATAATACAGGGTAACTTAAGTATACTTACTTTTTACTTTATCTTTCAATTACATATAAATTTAAAACATAACTTAAAGGCCGTCTACCAACTAACTATTACTTTATATTCTAAGACATTTCTTTTTATTTTTTTTTAAATATATCAAAACTATATATGTATTTTATTTTAATAGCACCAATATTTTTATTGTTAATGGCTTGCAGTAGCTTATCAAAAGACATATTTTCGCTTCTCATAATTAGCAATTCATTTACCGTTTTAATGCCACATTCCTTACACGAAATCCCGACAGATTGAAATTGATCTATCCTATTGAGTAGCTCTTTCTTGCTCATCCTATTGAAATTTTGCCCCTTAATATTCCATAAGTAAGTTATTCCTCTCTATTAAAAAGCGACTAAAATTTATTACACACCGGAGGTGAAATTTTGATACCATAGTATCCAGATGCCCACGACTTCGGTTGTGTTTGACACTCCGTAAGTGAGTGTCATGATGAATGTGGTTAACATCTAAAGTTCGTCACCTAATCTGAAATCCACAAGAAATAATGACGCACCCTTTAACAGCTCTATATTTGTGTACAGGTATTAAAAGTTACCTTTTAATACCTTCGCAAGTTAGAGTTATAAAACACTACAGAAAGAAGCTAAAAAGTATGGACTTAAATCTTTTTAACGATTTATACTGGTTTTCGTACTATACTATCTCATTTCTTTTATGTCCAAGTTTTTAATAAGTCACAACATTTTATTATCAATATAGTTAGACTTCTTTTTCGCATTGGTTTGGATGTGTGCTATGTATGCATTTATTTAACTAACGTTTATTGTAATAGATTAGGTTCTTAAATGTTGACTTGTGGAATATAAGTTCTATCTGCTAAACTTCAATAATCTTCAAATAATTTTTAATAAGGAATGTCTGATATAAAGTTACTTGTTTATAATATATTAAACCAAAATCATCATTAACTAAATGTACTGATTCAAATTGTAGGGGATTTGAAGAGTATCAAGCAATTCCAAAAAAAAAAAAACAAGTTACGATTTTGTTGGTTGGCTTGGCTTGGCTAAAACATTTGGCTTACTTTTTATGAATAAATGACCTGCAATAGCAGGTTTCTGACTAATCAATATGATTTTAATACCGCTGGTGTGTATGTCTACAAATTTCGTTTGGATTTTTGAGCGTGCTTAAGAAATATTAATAAAAAAATAAATTAAATGAAAGCTTTGTAGCAAAATGAAAAAATTATAGCTACGTTCCAAGTGCTGGGTTTAAGACACAAGAGAGACGAAGAAATATATTCTTAAAAGAAATCACATATGTTAATGCTCACATAGAAACATACCTATACAAACCATTAATGTCGACACACATTTTTTAAATGTATCTATACTATCTATATATTATACTATGTATATACAAAAAAAAAAAAAAATACAGAAGAGTACAATAAAATAAATAAATTCAACAGCACGCGTTTATGAATGAATCAGACTGGAAATGTGCACAAATATTATTTATTAAATATTTTTTACATACAATATTGTGTGCGATCTGCAAGTTGAATGTGCTTTACTCGGGTATATCTACACATGTACGTACATAATATTTCAAATTAAATAATTAATAGCGATATTTGCTGTAATATTTGATATATTGGCTTAGTGCTTAAAAATATGCTTGTTTTTTCCGACTCTATTTCGAAATTTTGTGGTTGCTGTTATCTTCTGAGTGTTTTTCAATCTCTGACAATCTCTGATTACAAATCGTTGGTGATACACTCAAAGAGAAATAAAATATTCCTAAACGGAACGCAGTTTTGTTTATAAATCATTTCCATATTGCATTATCTATTCAATAATTTATTATTTTTAAATTAATTCCTTGTTTATAGTTAGTATGAAGAATTTGACATGTCAACACGAAAATCTACATTTGTAATGAATCGTAAATATTGTAAGCAAATAATACCTCTCAGTACAAGGTTATAACTTTTCATTGTTTACGATGACATATCATTAAATAGAAATTTTTATTTAAATAACGTCATATATGCATATTATTATCTTGAAAATGATTGTACAGTATTTTACATTTACTACTATAATACTTTAATCATAGGAATAAGTAATTGGCTATAGAAAACAACCCCGTTTTTTTCAGGGGTACTGTGATTCTTTTAAAACCGAATTAAATACTACATCATTTTTAAAATTATAATTCTATAAGTAAGTACTAACTAGCTGTCATTTTTATGCCTCAATATTTAAGCTATATCAGTATTGCTCCATTCAGTCCATTGAACTTAATTTCTACTCTTACGTCTTCATCGTACACATTGGGCAACCCGAATAACCTAGAAAGCGAAATGATAGAGATAGGCAATTTCAGTGATAGTTTCAGGCAATCTAATGTGAGAGGCAGTTTCAATAGAAAGCCAATTTGACATAAGCGATTTATTGATTCCCCTACAACACAACAAGGAGATGCGGTCTCAGTTAATGTCTGATTTAAAGTTAGCAGTTTCTTATATAAATATGTCTGTAAAATAGATAAACGAAAATATACAAGCGCAGGAGAAAATATTCTCGCTGATTTACCACCAAACCAACTATAAAAATAATGATTACAAATTACATACTTCAAAAAACGTTCAAAACTACTACTTCTCCTGTAAAATTTACAAAAATTTCTATTACATGTATATAATGTATACTCCATAAATTTTGATTTTTAATCCATCTATGGATGTCTAATGTCAGTGTCATGCAGTTCAAACGACGTTTTATATACTCGTATTATATATATAAACAATAGCTTTCTTTTTTGAATTTTTTTTTGAAAATCCTTAGCTTATATGTTTACACATTATAACATAACAGAGACTTCATATAAAAAATTAATACACATAAATCGTCATTAGGTGCGTTCGTCTTTCATTATTTGAAAAAGGTTCAAAGTATCTAGATTGTTTTTTTAATAAATGCTTATGTTTTATTTAAACTGAAACAAAAACGTTTTCTGATAAATCATTAAAAAATAAAAAAAATAAGATTATAAGACTTCTAAAAGATTAATAACAATGTGTTTATAATCATGTGCGCCACTTTCAAGTTTCTGAGGGTAATGTACTAAAAACACATTATATTAAAAAGTCTTGAGTACATCGTAACGACTACCAAGAAACTAATAATCTGTGTTCGAAATTTACATGTTGCAATTCGAAAATGCAATAAAGATTATAAAACGCCGTAATCAAGATTCCTTTCTAACATTTATAAAATAACTAAAGAACATGGAATTTTCGTTGCTATCATATTAAGATAATCAAACCAAATAAACAAATAAGCTGCAAAGACTAGTAAAACCACTAATAACAAAAAAAAATGTAGCTATTTTCGTGAGATATTTAAAATTGTAACAATCTAATCGAAAACACAACTTATAAACGTCAATAGAAATAAACTAAAATATTTTTTAATGGCCTGTCCTGTATCAATTGTTAATAAAAATCAAACAAAATTAATTTTAAAACTTTATTGTCTATAACTTCAGTATAACAAACAAAATTCTCATATTCCATAAAAAACATTATATCTCAACCTATTTACAATATTAAAATTTATATCACAAAAATGCTTTGTGCACTAATACATATATTATACAAATCTATATACTATATTGTACCTCTTGTATAACTACTTTCCATTTGGTACCATAACATTAATTACACCTGGTAATATTTCCCCTTGTATCGGGCCATACTCGATACGCTCACCATCTACAGTAATAATGCCTTCTTCACCTTGGGGTTCAATACGAAAAGCTCGACATTTAATCACTTGTATATGTTCTGTGGGTGATTCGGGCAAATGTGTTCCAGTGCTTAGATTCAAGAAAAAGGGAATAAGCTGAGAACGGCTGACGCCTGCACGTATAATCACCATATAAATAATCCCATCATTCAATTGAGACTCTGGTGCGAAAAGACAATCGCTGGATAAATGTGTTGTAGAAGCAGTATGCACCATAACGTACTCGCCCTCCTCGTATCGCCAAGTATCAGTAGAAAGCGGCATACTCAATGATGGTATTGTAGCTGTAGGTGGTTTCGCTTCCAGTTCTGCATTGGCGGTTTCAATTTTGCTTAAAATACTGCGACGTGAACGTATACTGCTCTGCCCACCAAGTGAAAAATAAGCAGTTTGCCTTGAGATAGCTGAGTTCCAGCTATTCACATTTAAATGTGAGCTAGCATTTAACGACATAGCATCCTCGAATTCGTCATCATTTTCCAAATCAACCTCAGGTATTTCGAGAATATCATGAAACTCTGTTGTATCTACAAACTCATTCTGTGGCTTTACGTCTTCATAGCAATTTCCATTATTTATTGTCACATTATCATTGGCTTTGTTATGGTTATTAATTGATACTTTTTTATCATTACTCTCCTTCTCCCAGGGTAGATACCATAGTTTTCCTTTATACGTACGCAAACTTATTAAACGATTAATAGTCCAAAGTGTAAAACGTTTAGCACCCAACGAACGTAAACGTTCACTTTCAATATCTACATCAGCTATAAGTCCCCAACCAACTGAGAGAAACGAATAAATTTCTGTGCTCTTTGCACTTTTACCGAATTCTATACGCACAATATCCATAGGCGTTGTTTTCCCAGAAACACAAGCCAATGTAGCATGCAGAATGGGCTTCGGTTCGTAAGGTTCATTATACAAATGCGCTATGCTTTTTGCTAGACCATTACCTGAACCACATGGTATTATACCAAGCGGCATGTGTTGACTAACCAAACGCCAATCACTACGTTCCATTAAACCATTAAGTACCTCATAGAATAAGCCATCACCTGAAGCAATTAATATTCCACTATATTGTTTCAACAGATCCTTACGTGTTCGCACCAAATCCCTTGCAAAGTTTGAATGTGTAGTTATTTGCAAATCATAAGATACTTCTGCTTCTTTGAGCACAGGTGCCACTTGGTTCTGAAATAGTTGACGACTTTTTCCTGAACCCGATTTAGGATTTAACAATATCAATAGCTGCCTACGTTCCATGGCCCAATTATGTGATCCATCTTTATTGATACGTATTCCGTGATGCCAACGTTCTGCTATTTTTAGGTTTTGTTCGTATGTTTCATGTGTGCGAAAACGTAATATGCGTACTGTTTGATTACGTCGGAAAGGTTTCTCGCGTTTAACATAAGCGTAAATATACAAGTAAGCACTACTATCTTTTTGAGGTTCTCCATTAGCTCCCACACCCGCGGCACTTACACTACCGTCGTCTTCAACGTCCGATATGCGTTTGCAGGAACGAAGTGCACTTTTATTTTTCTTTATACGTAAACCGTACCGACTGCCTATTATATCCTCGAGGCGTATAAGCTGTTCATTAATCTGGTCACTTTCTTCCGTTTCCCGACGTAAATATATGCCAGCACCGTTCAGCTTAACTTGTATTTTAACATTACTCTTCCTTTTGTTGATAATGTAAAAGTTTTCACTCAACTCAATTGGTGGGGCGGCGCCATTACGGTTAACAGTTATGGAACTGCGTTTAGTTGCAGTGCTGGAACCGTTACCTGTGATGTAATCGTTTGAGGTCATTGCTATTATTTGCTATTTTTTAAATTCGAAGCTTCCGCAATGTATTTGTACATAAAAATCAAGTTGTCTAATTCTTGAAATTTTTATGTTTTTCACCGTTCAATTTCACTTTGCCCTGCTACACCACCGTTTACATGCGCTTTGTTTTCTCCACTGAAAGTAAGTAATTATGACTCGCTTTCGAAACAGAAAGGCTTATCAAAAAAGCTGTTTTCTAATGTAGATTGTTTCTTTTCGCAGTTGTTGTTTTTGTTTATAGTTGATTTTTTATTGGTTTTATTCGATATTTCTAAATCGAATTAATTTGTTCCGATATGTTCGGAGTTCTCGATTGAGTTTTTATTTATCTGTTTCGCACCTTACAGATAAGAACAAACACCTGCGAGCTTAGTACTCCCCACCAATTTACATTCTGATTAATTTATATTTTTCTTATATTTTCTTTAATATTTGTTGTTGCTGCTGTTGTTGTTGCTGTTGTTATTGTTTTGTGCGTTTGTTGGGTAGTTTAATTTTTTAATTAGTTAATTTACCAGTTTTTATTTATTTATTTATTTACTTTTTTAAAATAAACTTCGCACATTTGTCATGTGTCTAGCAATAATTATCCAAACATTCAAAGGCTTTGGCTAACTTATCGTTCTCCGCGTTGTGTTTTGACCATAGTTCCGCGCTTTATAAACTTTGTCAATTGTTAATAACTTTTTCATTTCACTGAGATTCGTTTTTTGTTGTTTTGTTTACAGTTTTAAATTTGAGCTTTTTTACTTTGCATTTTGAGCAGCTCAGTCGAGCCTCGGATTATGAGTTTTTCTCTCTTTTTATTGTAATTAATTTATATATTACCTTGACACTACATTTTTGATCGGCATACTTAGCTTGCTACGAATAACCATATTTTACAATAGAATTTAAAAAAAATTTTTTTTTTCTATAAAAATTTTTTTATCTTTAAATATTAGTCATACAATAACATTTTATCATTATTAAGTGGAATTTTTTTTTTGTGTTGTGATAAGGAGATGAAATGCTTTATGCTTCGTCAAACTGATCGTCTTCGAAATGGTGTAACCAAGTCTCTTACAAGTCACTAACTATGTAATATATAGACTAAAGCACTCCCTTTTAAACGAGACCCATCCCCTATTCATTAGCATAGTTTTTGCGGGCTAATTAGTTTATATTTGGAAAGTGTAGCCTCTTTAAGTTAATATATAAAAATCTAAATATATAATTGAAAACTATTGCTTAGTCTAATGAAGTGATAAACAATAATCCAGTCAAGGCGTATGCTAAAAATTAATATTTATTAGTATCATTAATAATCGACTATAACAATTAATTGGAAATTCTTAAAAGTAGTAATTGGCAGTTATATGCAAACTCGTTAGTTCAATTAATAATCAACTACATCAATTAACTAAGGGTATTAAAAAAATTTTTATTGACAGTTTGGTTAAATCTTCACTGATATGCTGACAAAATTTTATAAAATTTTAAAAAATTCTAAAACCCCGCACTTCAGTCCCTTGTTGAGCTCAGCTTATAATGATCAAAATTTTATAAAATTTTGATGAATATAAGCTGAGCTCAAAAAGGGACTGAAATGCGGGGTTTTAGAATGTTAATATCATTCGTCTGAATAGGTTTGACGTCAACAAAAACTCTAAATAGAATCTAACCTAAACGACAGAGTCATAAAAGCCCCATGATATATTAGTAATGATGACATACTTAGGGATAGTTGCAGTGAATGACGAGACTCAATATCTAGACAGTTGCAGAGTCAATAAGACGAACCAGTAACAACCACACGCAGAAATTACTGCAATACTACTCGTATAACATTTACATAAGACAACTCATCATTTTATCCATACTTCACTTTACCATTGAATCATGTTATGTATTAATAATATTTTCAAGTTGTCCTTTATATATTTACATATATATATTTAAACGTTTTCCTTAGTAAAGTGTGGGTAGTTCGCAAACCTTCATACTAATACTTATTAGCTAAGTACTTGATCCTGTATCTAGATCCAAATTTTGTAACATTCTAAAAGTGTTAGTGTTTACCATTATTATGGTATGATTGTAGTATAGACGATAGCGAATTTGTTTTTTTTTATAGTGACAGAACACGTCCAGCCATCTAATCTTTTTGCTTACAAAGAAAAGTGCGCAAAATTGGTGCTATATAAAAAAAATGTAAGTCTTTGTATAAAATAGTCGTTTAACTTTATGGAAATTGGATAAACTCATTTTACAAACTCAGATACTCAAACTGAGTATCTTAAACCGAGTTCGCGAGTTTTTGCAATTTATTTCAAGTCCCCATAAAATATGATGACTTAAAATATTACGTAGTTTTTCAAGCTCAGTTTATTCAAACTGAGTTTTGCTTACTTATGAAACTTGTTTTTTTTTATTAATATTTTTTTGTATGATTTTATTGTGCTGTACATATATATGTATATATATATATATAATGTTACTCAAAACATTTCCATACTTAGTGTTTACATATAATTTTTTTGCAATTTTATTATTTGTGTCTATAAAAGATAAAAAAAAATTGTAGCTTTTAAAGTGAAGATGTTTCAAATTACATTTAATTTATGTCGATTTGACCGACTATAAACTTACGTATTAGTATTTTTTTTTTTTGAATATTATCTAAGTTTTTGTTTTGGGAAGGTAAAGTGTTGTTTGGTCTATTGTTAAGAAGTTGGGAGCCACTATTAAAGCTTTTAAAACTCAATTTCAAATTGAGTATTACTTTTTAGTTTTATTATCGTTTTGTGTAAGTCTGCGTAAGCCTTTCAAAATGATAACAATAAAAATAACAGTCTGTTCTATTTCTATAGATATACAAATAATATTTGTATGTAAAAATTCTCCATTGCCGCACAACAGTTCCAACAATCGGTAACAGTTCGTTCTCGTCATTCGTTTTGGTCTTGCAAAAGTTTTCATATCAATTTAATCGCCTTCATTAGCTTGTCTCCTCTGCAATGCGGTGTCAGTCCATTGTTAACAATATGTTTATTGACGTGTCGGTAATTGGTAATTTTCGGAAAAATCAGTGTTTTTATCTATCTGAAGTAGAAAGTGACTAATTTTTTCATTTATTTTCGCCTGATGTGAGTACGCCAATTACAACAGATAAAATTTCGTGACGTTAGTGAGTCTTTAGGTTAGATTAGGTTAGGTAACCTAGTGGGTCTTTAGAAATACCAAATTGTTACTGTACTGATTTTAATTTTCCAACAAAAAAAGAAAAAAAATACATTCAAGTAAATGTAAACAAAAAAAAAGCTCACATGAGTTATAGCAAAATTTTTATTATTTTTGGCTAACGATTAGTTTACACTAATGTGTGGCTATGTATTTTAAAACACATATCTACGAGTGTATATAGATAGAAATACACAAGTTAATCAGACTTAAATATTTTTGCGTTATATAAACAATGGCATGGCAATATATTGCTAATTCTAAAGACCAATAGTGATTGTCGGACAAAAAAAAAAACAAATATTTGGATTAAAAATCAGATTTTGATATATAATTAATTTATTATATTATCAAGTTTTCCGAAGCATTTTGTTCATTAATTTTGTTAGTAAATAAAATAATAAAAACGCACTTTTTTCATTTATTTTATATCTTTTTATTTATTTTATATCTTTTATTTATTTTAAGATGGTAAACAAAAACTTTATTGACTTTAAAATTTAAATTTTTTAAAGTTAACATAATATATAACAAACATATCAAGTTGGAAAATATTTTAATAAAATAATATTCACAGATTTAAATATATGTATATATATATATCTAAATATGCGCCAATACTTTTAAAAAGATCTTTAATTAAAATAGGTTCTGTGAGTTTCTGAGGCAGGTAGAAAAATTTCAAATGTATGATTTGAAGTTTCTTTACAGTTTTTGTTTCTATTTCAGTTCTTAACTTGCCTTCAAAGTTATTGGACATTTTTGCATTTTTATAAGAACAGAATCAAAACAAAAGTTAACTAAGAATATTATCTACCTTACATTTCATCTTCCTATGTAACATATTTATATCTAACATATTTATTTGTAACATATTTATATCTAATTTCAAAATAAAATCATAAAACAATATATATGCAGTTTGAGAGGTCAAGTTTCAACTAGAATTGTTCTGCCATTAATGACGATGATGATATTTGGAATTTCATATAAATTTTCGATTTATTTGCAGTTCTAAAATAGTATAATATAAAAAATATAATATAAAGTAATTACCTAGTTTACTTAGGAAAATTTTGGTTGGAATGACGGTCTTGTGTCCAAAACCCATGTAAACCCAAATAATGGCCCGTTGTGATACCACGCTTTAGCGTTGTTCAAACACAGACCAAAAGGTTTTACTAAACGACCACCATTCAAATCGAAGTGATCAACCTGACAAATCTATAAACTTAGCCAAGTTGACTTGGCTAATTTTGTAGGAAAGGGACCCAAAATATTTTATATCTTCTCTTAACCAATATTGACAGTAACATTTGAGTTGAAGTATAATTTCCTTCCCATCACAATTCCACCAGCTTACAACAGTGCCATAACCCTGACAAAATTCATAGTAGAGTAGACCGACTCTCATAACGTATCTCGCCAGTAAACAGCGACCAGTCAACACCGATACTGTAGTGCTCAGCTGGTTAGTTAAAGCAGTTCTCTGGTACGTTTTTTATACATTTTAGACCAGGTCTATTTTAAAATCTGACAGGTGCTCTCATTTACCTAAGTTTGTTTAGCTAAACTTAGATATTTTTGCTTGATTGTCAGCTTGACCTTTGCAAGTCGAATACCAATGTCCGACATATGGATATTAGACAGCAAAATGCCAGCCTTGGTAAGCTCATCTACCCTGCAGTTGCCCGATAACTCCCTGCATACAGGTGACCACATGAACTGGAGCTTAGCTACCAGAAATATTGTAGTACCTTGGTTGTCCAAAAAAATTATGATATAAACATCGACGGTTTTAATTTTCTTAATTAATAAGTAATATTCACATATATGAGTATATGAAAATTGAAAAGTTGTTTGCAACGCATTGGATAATCTATCGAAAATGTTATTAGCCATAAAGGTGTTAAGCATAAATTTAATTATATTGATCTGACCATCTGTTATTAAAAACGTAAACTAACCATTGAGCTTTAGAGCTAAACGTATTATACGTAAAGACTGTTTAAAAATTGATTATAAAATTATTCGAACTTTTTAAAATTATTTAATGACTTAATTAATATCTGTTGTAAGAAGTATGAAATTGGATATAAATTTTTACATTTTCGTTAATGATAATTAAAATGTTTACCATTAAGCCTTACATATAGCTTATAGTTTTCTCGATTATATAGCTCCAAATATCTCTGGAGAGCATCACTCAATTGGTAATAAGATCACATTGTGTCAAATTGACACAAAATAACTATCCCATTCAGTATTTCGCTAAAAATTTAGCTAATCAAATAGTTGATTATTGTTCTATTTATTTAAAACAAAAGTGTTATATTTTTAAAATAATCTCACATATTTATCTTGAACTTTCTTATCTGCATACATTATCGTTCATTCAATTCCTGTTGGCGGCTATGACCTTGCAAGGCAACGTATGTAAATATTTATACATTTATTTAGAAATAAATTAAATTCATTCACGTTACTGACCTACAAAATGTATTCTAACATAGTAAATTGCTTCTTGCATGCTAACTACAAGCCTCAAACCTAAAGAAACCAAAAAGATTCCATATCAAGTGTTGCCCCCGCATCGCTGCAATTTGTTTACAATCAATCAACAGGAGCGCACTTTCATTGCGACCTAATTTTCTCTGATTGCTTATTCATTTTCGAAAACGCTCACATACGTAATTCGTAAAGATACATTTTCTTATTTAACATATCTTTCTTGGTCAAGGTTGTTCTCTATATATAATAATTTATTCATATCGTACTTAATGTTTTAATGTTTATTATTTTTAATAATATTTTTGTTTTAGGAAACCAAATTTTAAGGGATTGTACAATAATAAAATTCTTCTTTAATGGTTTCCAAATCAGGTCAAAGTAAAATAGATAAGCACGAGTATGTTTTTAAGGTAATTAAGGACAATTTTAGACACCTAAATCTAGTTAGAAGTCGTGTGGTTTGTCATTCTTATTTATGTCAGTAAGTTTTAGTTGAATTTTTGTTTAGTAATTGATTAGTTGTATATTGATTTCGTAGACAAGTGCTGGATTCAAATAAATTCTAACAAATATTAGAAACGCACAATTAAATGCGAAAAATTGTAATACAAAAACAAATTTTATTTCTATTTAAATCAAATCTATAATAATTTAATTTATTATATCGGTATATATATATATATATTTAATTTTACTTCGTTATTTTTTTGACATTATTATTCATTTTATTCTTAAAAAAAAAAATCGCAATATCTCAACAAAATTCTAAAGTCTAAACTTAGTGTAAAGCATATTTTTTTTAATTTTATGGCAGCGGATCTGACATTATTCGCTATATAACTTTAGCACGAGATTTCTACTGCTCGCCAATATTTAGCACGAACTTCTTACTGGTCTCCAACTTCGTCATTTGCCTTGAAAATTTCAATCAATAACTCTTTTTCCAACATTGTTCTTAGACTTGCTGATAGTGTAACCAGTAAAGTTCTAGTAAAGAATCGTCAGTGGTACCTGTATCGTCTGAACCATTTAAGATTGTACCTCGCATATGTGGTTGGTCAATATATGTCCAGTACTATTTATAGGCATTGGTTTATAAAACTTTGTACATATACTTTGGAGACCTAGTGGTATCTTACAGCAATATACCAGTGTATGAACCACATTTAAGATAAATAAATTAATTTTGTTATTACGTGACTACCTTTACGTTTAGTATCTTTAAAATTTTCAACACATGATACAAATTATTAGTACTATTGAACTATATTTGGAACTTTGCTTAATCGAAATACAACAATTACTAAGAAATAATAATACATTTACTTTTTTTATAAATCAATGGTAAAATCAAGTGGTTTTATCAAAAGTTGAAATACAGTTCTTAATCAACACAAAAACATAAATAATAATGAAATACTCGGTGTATATCTGGTTAATAAAAAGGCTTAATTATTTTTATCCTTTAAAATAATCTCTAATCTCATTCTTCAAACTTTTTTCAGAACTTCAACTATGTAGCCATATGTTCGATAAAGTCATCTCAAACAAATTTCTGTAGGTATGCTAATCTATATCAAAATATAAGTGCCAACTTTTCGTCTCTGCTATTCGTTTTAATATACATATAAATTTGCAAAATTTAAGTTCTATATCTTAAAAACTAAAGTATATCGATATATATCGTAGAAGAAAACATTGTTGAGAAATGTGCCAAAGGAAAGATAAATTATGAAATTGAAAGATCTTGTGAATACTTGTCATGGAGATCGTCAAAAACGTTAACAATATTGGTGATCAATCTTTTTAAGTTAATCAGTGAATTTAATAAATAATAAATTCTTCAATACTCAAATGTTTGTTCGTTCAAATATTTTCTACATTTTTTTTCGCAAATTTTGCTGATTATTTTTGCAGTCAGAAGATGTTTTAAAGGTGTTGCTTTCTATCTTAAAATTCCTGAAATTTGTTCCAAATGTTGTTGCACTAATTTTAACTTTAAAGTCATATCTTAAAATAATTATACGAAAACAAATTTGTTAAATAAACAAAGAGCAGCATTGGGAAAACACATAATCGTTTTAAGAATTAAGCTAAACAAACTATAAAATACAAACAAAACTTAATTATTTTTAATTTCTATCATAAAACATCACATCACTTTCCCGCTTTCACACATGTGTCTTTTTAGACAGTTTTTCAGTTTTTTAGACACTATCGTAGATATGTGGGTCAAGTCCAAACATTTGACTAGCTGGTTTTTTCATAAATATTTAAATAATTGTTCTTACCATTTAGCTAAGCTAATAGTTATCATTAATCTAGCGTTTAAAGTTAATTTTAAGTTTTTGCTTTCTTTTTTTATTTTAGTTAAATTCTTCGGAAAAGATCATGTACGAGTACTTCCATAAATTTTTTTAAGTGAGTTTATAATCTCTATCTCTGCAAGGGGAACCAACAACTAAAACCAGAATTTTAAACTACAATACGGAAGTAAACGATACATTATAATTTGTACTCTTACTTTTGTTGTTGTTGTTGTTGTTGTTGCTGTTTATGCAATTTGAATAGAAGTTAAATCTCGTGCTAAAACGCATTCAACAGTATCAACAGTCACGTTATCCAAACAATAACATCAGCATACATACATATTTGAACGTTATTCACAATTGATAACAGTGGCAATGACCCTAACTACTGCTACACAGCAAGAAAGTAGCAAAAAAATGGAAGTCAAATGCCCCACAGAGGAGAATTTGCCTACTTCTGAAATGACTTTGCTTGCAAAGTTGGAAGCAGCAAACAAACTTATTGAAAGCGATGCCAAAAGTCTAAATTCCCTACACTCAACACACAGTCGCAAAAACTCGGATACAAGCCAAATCAGTCTCAACTCAAGTAAGTTAACATTCTCATTACTCTACGTTACATTATTTAATAATTTTGCTTGTGAATTCTATGGCAATTTCAGATGGCAATTCGTCTGCTGCTGAAGAAGACGTTTGGACAACATGGGCCACAATAATCAGCGATTGGGAAGGAGCGTTAAAGCGTAAAAATCCATGCGTGCGTGAATTGGTACGACGGGGTATACCACATCATTTTAGGTATATTTATTTTAATGGTTTTCAGTTAACAAAGGCTTTTAGTATAACAAACGATATTTGCTTTTTGCAGAGCAATCGTTTGGCAAGAATTATGTGGTGCTGCCGAAGCTGATAAGAAACAATATGCTGAATATATTAAAGCAACATCAGCTTGTGAAAAAGTCATACGACGTGATATTGCACGCACCTATCCTGAGGTAGATTTTTTCAAAGAAAAAGATGGACCTGGACAAGAGGCGCTCTTTAATGTTATTAAAGCCTATTCGTTGCATGATCGCGAAGTAGGCTACTGTCAGGGTTCAGGTTTTATAGTTGGATTGCTCTTAATGCAGGTAATTTAAGTTAAAGCTCATTATGTGAAATATCTATAACGAATATTTTAAAAGTTATTAATATTTATTTAATATTAACTTAAATACCACTAATACGTTTCCATTATCATAGTGAAATTAACCACAATTTGCTATCCATTTATGGCTCTTCGTGCGTAAACTCGTTACTTTAAGTAATCTACTTTTGACGTATTCCTAAAGAAATTAATTAAAATATTAATTTTTTTAAGTTAGCTAAGTAATTAACGCAAAGATGGATAAATTAAAGTGGCGGATTTTATATAGATAGAATAATTAAATGCAATTAAGTTAATTCGAAAAAATATTTTTTTGATATTCGTATAATTAATTATTTTTTAAACAACCGAAATTATTTATTTTTTCTATATATTTTCTATATATTCTATATATTTGTTTGTTTACATTTTTTAAATATTCTAAATAATTTAATTAATTTATAACGAATACAAAGTTTATAATAACTTTTATTAATAAGTATTTCATATTAGTTTTTGACTTTTCCATTTATTTGTTTATTTGTATAGATGCCCGAAGAAGATGCTTTTGCTGTCTTAGTTCAAATCATGCAACAACATCGAATGCGCGATATGTTCAAACCATCTATGTCAGAGTTAGGACTTTGCATGTATCAGTTAGAGAATTTAGTGCAAGAACAAATACCTGAAATGCATATACATTTCCAACAACAAGTGAGTAAAATACAATATTATACAATATTATAATCATTAACTATATTGTATTATAATTATATTCTCTATAAAAATAGGGATTCCAAACAACAATGTACGCTTCCAGCTGGTTCCTCACTTTATACACAACTAGTTTAAACCTTAACCTCAGTTCTCGCATTATGGATGTGTTCCTTAGCGAAGGCATGGAATTCATTTTCAAGGTAGCATTAGCTTTATTACTTTTGGGTAAGGAAACACTACTCTGCCTTGATATGGAAGCTATGCTTAAGGTTTGTTTATATATATATATATTTTTTTCTTGAATATATATATATTAATATTTTTGTTTTTAATAGTTCTTTCAAAAAGAGCTTCCGGGACGTGTCGTAGCTGATCCAGAGGCTTTCTTCAATTTGGCACATTCCATTAAAATAAACACGAAACGTATGAAAAAAATGGAAAAGGAATATCAAGATTTAAAGAAAAAAGAACAAGAGGAAATGGTTGAACTTCGTCGTCTAAGGCGTGAAAATCGTTTACTTAAGCAACGTAATGACTTACTTGAGGCTGAGAGTGCGGAACTGGCCGACCGTTTAGTACGTGGCCAGGTATCACGTGCTGAAGAAGAAGAAACCAGGCAAATAACATATTATAAAAGACTTGCAATTATCCTAACAGCTTATTTTTTTTTTGTAGTTATGCTATACAAACAGAACTTATGCAATTAAGACGATCTTTTCTAGAAGTTTCACATCAATTGGAAAACGCAAATGAGGAAGTGCGAGGATTAAGCTTGCGTTTACAGGAAAATGTAAGTTTATAATATATTAACATATGTGTGAAATTTTGTTCATTTCTCTCACCAATTTGTATCTAATCACTCAACAATGCTAATATTTTTATCTTCAATTTATTTCTATTGTTTTCCTTTTATTGGTTTTTGGTGCTAAAATCATTTTATGTACAAACAAATATATCAAATACACAAATACCGCAAAACTACCGCTTTTCTAAACAGAATGTTTCGATTGATAGCGTAAGTAATCCTTAAATAGAAAAAGGATAAATAATTTTTTATAAATGCATGCTTTATATTTTGTCTTAGTTTCAACTGTACTATTGAATATTATATGTATATGTGTTTTTTAATATATATTCAAATTATTCCATATGAATCTGTAAAGTTTACATTTATTTTTTATTATGGGTTAAGTTATGTGATAAATCTTTTATTTACGTCTATAAATTAAATACATTAATAATGTTTATTTTTTATAATTTAGTATTGCTTATTCTTAAAGTTATTTATTTCTATATATTCCCTAATACTGCATATTAAACTCGCTTTGAAGAATTAAACCGTCAAATTCTTGGTTTTGTTGTTGCATTGCTTAACACTTTGTTCTTAATAGTTTAATTTTCGTTTTACTAATGAATTAATATATATTTTTGATAAGATTGTTTTAATATGTGCTTTTTTTAAATTACACATTGAAATCGACAGAATAATTCTCGTCAATCATCAATCGATGAACTTTGCATGAAAGAAGAAGCTTTGAAGCAGCGCGATGAAATGGTGTCATGTTTACTGGAAGAACTTGTTAAAGTACGTCAAAGTTTAGCCGAAAGTGAGGATCAAATACGTAACTTAAAATCTAAAATTGAAGAACTTGAAGAAGATAAAAAGACATTACGTGAGACTACACCCGACAACTCAGTTGCTCATCTCCAAGACGAACTGATCGCAAGTAAATTACGCGAAGCTGAGGCAAGCTTATCTCTTAAGGATCTCAAACAACGTGTACAAGAACTCAGTACACAATGGCAGCGGCAACTACAAGAGCATAGAAGTGACCACAATGCTGCTCCAGTTGATTCGACGCCTAAAAAACTACTTACCAATTTCTTTGATACATCAAAAACAAATGAACACACACAAAGACTTGAAGAGGAATTGATGACCACACGCATACGTGAAATGGAAACATTAACAGAACTTAAGGAATTGCGTTTAAAAGTAAATATTTTTTTTGAATTTAGAGATTAATTACTATAACTTTATTTTTAGGTTATGGAGTTAGAAACTCAAGTACAAGTATCAACAAATCAATTGCGTCGTCAAGACGAAGAAAATAAAAAGCTCAGAGAGGAACTGGAATTGGCTGTTAATCGTGAGAAGGAAATGTCTAATAAAGCACGTGAACAGCAACACAGGTAAAAAAATTGGTTAAAATGCTTATTACAGGTAAATCAATAGATTGGTCTTTATTGATCTATATCAGTAAAGACCAAACTAAAAATATATTCTTTCATAGTTACGTTTTCTTTATACAATATATTGTCAAAATTATTTAATCTTTTTTTGTCTTTTTTAAAATAAGTCAATTATTTACATTTAAAACAAAATTATATATATTGAAATCGTCAAGAATTTGTATTAATCTTGTTATATGTTTTTTTCTGTAGGTACTCTGATTTAGAATCTCGTATGAAAGATGAACTCATGAACGTGAAAATTAAGTTTACTGAGCAAAGTCAAACAGTAGCTGAATTAAAACAGGAAATATCACGTTTGGAAACAAAGGTACATAGTTTTTTTATATGTAAATATTGTAAAAATTAAATTTAAAATTTTTGTAGAATTCCGAAATGCTGGCAGAAGGTGAACTGCGTTCGAATTTAGACGAAGATGAATCTGAAAAAGTACGTGACCTGCAGGACAGGCTAGCTGACCTAAAAGCAGAGGTAAGCTACATCTTATTAAATTTTATATCGATACAATTTGTATATAAAACCTTTTTTTTTGTTATTTTGTGCGCTTTTAATAAATAAAAAATATAACTTTCAATGTCAATGCCAATTATTTAATTTGAAATTGATTTGTGAGAGGTTATATAGTTTAATTCTTTTAAATCACTGTTCACCTACACGAAAGCATTCACAACTTGACTAGACAAATATATCTTAAAAGACGCACAAGTTTCTGTTTATAATTTCCGGTTTATGTTTACTTTATAATTAGTTTAATTTTTTTTATTTGTATATTTAAATTCTTTGACTTATTAAGTTTGTTTGAGTTATTTTTTTTTTTTTACTTTTTTAAATGATACTAGCCATTCATACATGTGCTATTTTAGCAGCTATTTAAAAAGAAATTCAAAATTACTGTGCTATTTTTTAGTATCCTACACCAATAACAAGCCCAGATACTGAACCATGGAAATGGATAAGCTAAATACAAGAATTCAGGTCATTACTAACCAAATAATTTAAAAAGTAATCGAAAATCTATTGGTTTTCTAATTCTTTCTTTTTTCGGCTGTTTCCTTTGCATGAATCTTCACTGTGTTGTAGTTAACTATACTTTTTGTTAATTAGAAATAATAAAAAATAAATTTTGTAGGAAGATAAATATATTTTGTCTTTTTTAAATATTTAAAGTTTTTTTTTTAGTACAATTAAAAATGTTATTTAAAAAAAGGAATATTTTTCATTTTTAATGCATGTTTACATTTACTTATATATTTTTGATGGTAATAACACATTATTTTTAAAAATTGTATTATTTTACATATTATATATAAACTTTTCACACTGTGCAAAAAATTTATTTATATATTTTCACAATTCTTATATATATGGTATATGCAAGATAATTTTTAGTTAGTAGATTGAGTTTTTACATTTTCATAATCAATATTTATAAGCTAGCAAAAAAAGAAAATTTTTTTTAATCAATTTGAATATTTATATTATATTAGTTTATTAGATATATAGCACGTTAATAATTTGTATTATAAATCCACATACATCTTTATATAACAATAAACTAAAAAAAGGCACACTACGGGAAAAAAACGCTCGTCGTTGTCATTCTACCGCTCGAATAGTGAAAAACACAGCATAGGTGCTAGTTACTGTGCAGTGCTTAATATGATTTGATGTACTTCACAACCGCTCAAGCGGCAGAGTAGCGACACCGAGCGTTTTTTGCCGCTATTTCAGTAATCTGGCCTAATAATCACAAAGTTTTTTATACATATATTTAAAGTTATAAAAAAAAACAGACTTCTACACTTATTAAATTATAAAAAAATTATAAAAAATTATTAATTCAAATTATTAAGATTTATGTAGAGCAATTTGTAACTTCATTTTTTAATCATTTAAAATAATTCACTTGTATTTTCTATTATATCAGACAAATATTAGCGGTGTTCAGACATGCTTGGCAATGTGGTAACCTAAGAAAAATCATACAATTTTATATATATTCGTTTTTGTGATACTAGAAAATTTTCCAGTTACTATATTACGGAGGCTTTAGATCTAATAATTTTTTTGGTTTACAGTTTAACATCAGCTGATTCGTATTTTTGGAAAGTACATATTGCAAAAAATTTAAATTGAATAATTAAATAATCACTTTGGATTGAAATAAATAATACATAAACTATACTGAAATAAATAATATAAAATAAATAAAATCATAGTAAACTGTTTTAAATTTTACGAATAAAATGCTGCTTTGAGACATCTACTACTTTATGATTTTACCGTAAATATAGTTACCCAGCTACGTCTGAATACCCCTATTGTATTTAACTTGAAAACATGATTGCATTTAATTCGGATTCACAAAAAAAAATGCAACCTTACTATAGAACATTTCCATTTGATGTATAGCATGCCATACTGTCTATTTATGAATTATTTAATTATTTTACTAAACCTTAAAATATAAAATTTGCAGCTAATGGCACTAAAAAGTCGAGGCAAATTTCCAGGCACAAAACTACGTAGTCCCTCGATACAATCGATCGAATCGACTGAAATTGATTTTAACGATTTTAATATACGCAGAGAAAGCACAGAATTATCATCATAATATATACTGAATTATTCTCACTATCAAAGCGTTGATGATACTTATGATATTTATATTAGTAGTAAAATATATATAATGTTAATTATAGAAGTAATTATAATGTTATCATAAGGATAGCGATTTTAATGCGATTTTTATGCTGAAAAATATTTTAATTATGTTTAATGTTAATATTAAGTAACTTAAAGTGAATATTTGTGTACAATTTGTATTATTTTAAAATAATTTTTTGTGTTTATTTAAAAGATTGATATTTATTATTGTAACTCCTAAGTTAGTATATTCGATAATATCATATAAGTTTATATAAGTTTCATATTTAAAAAAAGTCTTTTTTGAAAAAAGAAATAGAAATTCTGAGAATATTTATTATATTAAAATAAACTAAATGCCACAAAGTTTTTAAACTAGTTTAAATAAATAAACTGGCATACATAAATAGAGAAAACATATTTTATATAACGTTTATAAACAATAAAATATACATTGCAATACAATATTCATATTTAAATTCCAAAATATTACATTTTAGCAAAGTAGTACGTTCGATTTCAAAACAAATGTTGCCAAATGATTTAAGAAAACTGAAAATTATAAATATAGAGTTTTATTAAAAATTAAAATTAATATTACTTAAATATTAAAATCCATATATAAGTCTTAACAATAATTGTGGTTGATACTGCAATATACTTTTAAACAAGTTTTTTTTTATAGAATATATTTTAAAATTGAGTTGCAATAAAATTAAAACAGTTGATATTAGCTGCAGAGACATATTTTAGAAAAAATTATTTTAATTGCAGTAAAAGTAATTTGATTAGATTCAATAAAAACTAATTGGGATATTATTTTAACATTCTTATAAAAAAATTTGACAATTAAACTGAAGAAAACACATTTATGATATTAATTAATAAAACACCTTAACGATTTAATTAAATATTATAAAATTAAGTAATTATCTGCAGAAAAATGCAATTTGATATTAATACCTTACTATACACATTAATAATGTTAATATTAATAAAAAACTAATCCATCAATTAAATGTTGTATCAAATACTAACATAATCATATTAAACGATTTATGTTATATAGGGTTCATGATATTGATTTTGTCATTATATGAACTATATAAGTTCATATCATATCATTTTATGGCGAATCAAAATAGTTTCGCTTAGTTTTGATGGATACTAATTCACAACTGATTGATATAAATCAGCAATACCTATGAAAAGCAAATAGAAAACAGATATTAATCTATCTATAGAAGAATGCTATTAAAAATCGATAAAGTAGTGTTGCAGGTGATCCTTAAAAAAGACGAAATTCTTATATTCTATATTAAACTAGTGAGAATTATAAGTAAACATAAACTGAAAAATAATCGAAATTGAGTCACAACCAAATAACACAAATTATTAAAACATTTAAATCATCATTTGAAAGCTTGATGTTTTTTGCATGCTTAAATATAATTTAAAATAAATGAAGTGCAATATTTTTATAAACATTTTATACATTATTTTACATTTAAAAATAGCTTGTTTTAGTATAATGTTACTAATACTAATCTTTTTTTTTGGACAGTTATTATTATCAGCTATTTTTTCGAAAGCTGTAAATTAATAAAAACAAAACATTTTCAAACGCACATATTTTTATTAATAATAAATAATAGCTGATAAAATAATATATTTTATATAATGAAATACATTATACGAATTAATATTTTTTATTTTTAATTTTAACAGAAGAAACAAATTTACAGCGGCAACATGTCACATAAAGAACCAATATATCAAATATTTAAAAATGGTATTGTAATGCGAAATGATATAATGTTGATTCAATAGTTGGCAGATTTTTTATATACAATATAAATTTTTTTTAAATTAAACTACTTAACAGATTTACAAATATATTTGTTCATAAGAACTCAAATTTATAAATTAAGTAGTGCATATCCAGAATAAATAATTTTACATAAAATCATATAATATTATAAAAATTAAATATGAAACAAAATAATTAAATTTAATTTTAATGTGACTACGGTATATTTTTAAAAAATAAAAATTCTAATATAAATAAATTTTTTTTATATTAAATTAATATTTTGATATATTTTTCCTATGTTTTCTAAATTTATAACTATTTTAAAACATTCCTGCAATGCACTAAATTATTAATTGGAATTTTAAAAACTTGTATTTTTTTTTTGTTTATTAAATCTAATAAAATTGTTATTTTAAATATAATGATAATATTTCCCAAAAAATTGTAAAAATCTCTAAAGCATTTTATGCCAATAAATTCAATAATAAAATAAAAGTAATAAACTAATAGAGTTTTGTTAACAATTGATTTGCATCAAATGCATTAAAAGGTCAAATTAATCCAAATAAGAGTTATGTGACATTAATATGACATATGTACTATAACTACGCTCTTCCTAAAACACCTCCAATATTATTAAACTAATTAAAATAATATGTTTGATAGTTTTTAAAAATGAACTCTTCTGAGTTATTTATCAAAATATATTATAATGAAAAATAAAATATATGTATTGTAAAATCTTAAGTTTTATTATTTTTGATATAAAAAACGTACCTTATTTGTTATAAACTTATTATTTTTTAAATATGATTTGTTAATTTATTGCAAACATTTTATTGTATATTAAAATTTTATGAATTTATTTTTAAAAACGATTGTATGTTTTGTGATTATTTTAATATATATTAAAATTTTAAAAATTCTGAAAAAATATAAAATAATATTATAATAAATGCTAAAACAATTTATCTATCGTAAAATGTTATTAGCTACGATATTAACGAATAATTTGATAGTTCAAATTATCTTATGTATTTAAAGTTAAAAATTCAAGAAATAATGATATTGTGTTTTAACTGTTAACATCAAGATTCAATTATAAAACGATAAACTAAAAAAATAAAATAATACTTTAGATTTTAAAGAACTTAAAACAGAATAATTTGTTGTTTTTATTAATTTTATATTTTGTTTAAATTTTCATCTTAATGTTGAACATATAATATATTACTATATGTATGTTTCTATATATAGTATTACTTCTTAGATTTTCACTGACTAATCTATATCATTAGTCAGAGCAGGGGTATAGCCAGAAGCATGCCAAATGGAGGATACACTAGATAATAATTTTTTTTGGTCAGCATTTTTGCAATTGACTAAATTTTGTTGTGTTTCACATTGTCAGAGGAGAACTTAATACCTTACACTTCACTGATACGCCAGTGATTCAAAGTTTTTCATTTTCAATTATATATTCTTTAAACACATATATCATATCATATATATATATCATATTAGTGTATGTCAGACACTAATATTTGCAGATTCTGCTGTGATGAGGAAGAGTCTATAGAAACAAAATTTTAGGTACATACCAACTAGAGGATGAAGACCTTCGAAAACTCCCTCCGAAGGAGCTGGTTCGATTCCTCGAGATACTAAATATCTAAATACAAAGAGATGCACAATAGAGCAAACTGGTGGCAGTGCATAGGGGCCTAGCCTAACCCGAAAACCCCCAAATACCATTATCATTACCATTAGGATATATTTTACAATATAAACGCTTTGGACTATATATATATGAAATATGGTTTAAAAAATTGAATAATCATATAATTTATATTTTCGGTAAGTATCTGTATGAAAGTTGAATGAAAGCAATGAAGTATCATCACTACCTTTAATTTGAAGTCATTATGTATTATATATTAATTAAAAAACGATTTTGTTTTTTGCATTAGTTAACTTATATTTATTTTAAAATATGTGTATAGATAAATATATATTTAAATATATATATAAATAATCGTTGGTTAATATTCTTAACTGTATTAAATACTTTAACATTTATTAAATAATTAAAACATATTTGGAAATAACATGATTAACGTTTTTGGTTTTTCTAGAGTTGTTTTAAATTTAATAGATTATTTCATGAGCAATAACAAATAGTTTTAGAGATAAAACAAGACTCTAAAAACAAGTCATTAATAACATTTAAAAACGATATTAGCTAGTGTATATTATATTCTTTTAAAGAGGTAAGCGATAATCGCAGCGAGTTTAAGTTGTCTCTCACTTTACTATTTCTACTTGTTTCCTTCTAAATGGAAGTAGTAACGTTTCTCTGAGCTTTTATATTTAATATTATATTATTATTAATTATAGACTTAATATTATTACTTTTTTTAGTTTTTCCTTTTGAATTTTTTGTATTCCTTGTGTTCATTACCCATTTTCACTTTTTTAAAGTGTATTCGATGCTTTTGTTCATTATATTACTTAGACTTCAATAACTTAACTTATTCATCTAAGCAGATGGTGCGCAAAATAGCCTCTACAACTGCATATGGATCGCAATTTGAACTGGGACGACGATCCTCGAAATAACCTTTACCGTCGTCATTCACACCGCGTGGTATGCGAATAGAGCAACCGCGATTTGCTACACCAGCACTGAAATCATTTATTGAACTGGTCTCATGTTTGCCTGTAAGACGACGAGCATTATCTTGTCCTTGTTTTGGATCATAAGCGCGTATATGACGCTGATGACATTTGGAAAGTTTAGCTACAGCTTTCTCAATTTCCCTAAATAATAAATAAATGTTATCTACAGTTCTACAGTTAAAAGAGAAATATTGGATTACATACTTAATGCCACCATCTTCACGCATAATTTTAGTGGAGACATTTGTGTGAGCGCCAGCACCATTCCAATCGCCAGGCATGGGTTTGGGATCAAGTGTTGCAACAATCTATTTTAATATAGCATTTAAAACCAATAAAATTATACAATCTTATTACGAGTAGTATACTTACACCAAATTCTTCTGCAATACGATGTAATAAAAATCTTGACATCCATAAATCGTCACCCATTGAAATACCAACGCATGGGCCTACTTGATATTCCCATTGAGCTGGCATTACTTCAGCATTTGTACCAGATACCTTAACTCCAGCATATAAGCAAGCTCTGTAGTGAGCATCTACAACATCTCTGGCATAAACCTGTTGAAAATTTGTCTCATATGTATTTGTATCTTTTTCTTCTCATTATTATCGTCTTACCTTGTTAGCGCCTACACCACAATAATAAGGGCCTTGTGGTCCAGGATAACCATTTTTGGGCCATCCTAATGGATGTCCATCGAAATCTAGAAAAGTATATTCTTGTTCAATTCCAAACCATGGTTCATCATCTTCACATTTTTTGCACACTTCCAAACAGGATTTACGATGATTAGTAGCAGTAGGTGTGCCGTCGAATTTATACGTATCGCACATAACCAAAATGTTATTGCCACGTCGGAATGGATCCTTGTAAATCGCTACTGGGTATAGATATGTATCTGAGTTATGACCCTCAGCTTGATAGCAAGAGCTGCCATCATAATTCCAAACTGGAAGATCTGTAAAGCGGAAGTATTTGTAAGCAAGAATATTATATATTCCTAATTATGTATGTATATAATTATATTATACAGTATTACAGTATTACAGTATTAGAATAAAAAGCTAGTACGATTTTTGGTACAGTACGTTACTATATGGTAGTAAAGTAAATATTCGCTATCATTGTTAAGATTATTTAATATTTTTTTTTATTCAAAGTGACTAAGTAGAAAAGTAGGTATGTAGAAATGAATGTGCCAGACCACGGCACAAATACTTCTTGACGTTTGAGTTGACTGATTTCTATAAAAATATTCTGAGTTAAAGCTATAATATTGCACTGTATATAGACTTTTAAGATGTTAAGTAAACTACAAAGAGTGATGTAATTGATACTATATTACCTATAGATACTATTAAGATAATATAAACATAATCACCTATCGAAGTTAAGAATTCAATCCAACTCAGATTGCAGATACTGCAGAAAAGAAAGAAAAATTGCAAACCATGTGCTGACACTGATGCACAAGCGGAAAAAACACCTAGGAGGGTATTTTATGGATCGTAAGGATCCAAGTCTAGGAAAGATAGGCTCTTTACTGTCTTTCATTAAAGAAATCGGATTTGGAGAAACACTCTAATTCGACTAAGGAGCACAATAGATCTTTTAGGTCGCAGTGCACTGTCCCTTCTTTTTAATAATAATAATAAAGCTATATTACCTATATACTATTAAGATATTATAAACATAATCGTATAAAAAAGAAACTTGTGTTACCTCGATGTCACTTGATAAAAGAAAGTAATTTTGGAAACAGCATTAACGATTAATTAATAATATTTTTTGTATTTTTCTATAAATTTTAAACTAGTAGATGTTTTTTTTTTGCAGACAAAACTTGTATTGATTTCTGACTCAAACTGTAATATCCATAATATTTGCTCAATGACAAAGCATATATTGTAGGCATTATTATTAGCTTTATTAATTATAACTAAAAACTATATACAAAATACGTTAAATAGTATTCAAAAGCGTTTTCATTAACACCTCAATTTATCTATTATTAGAAAAAATATTTTAAATGTGAAGTTGAGGAACAAAAAGAAGATACATTTCCTCATAAAACACTAATTACCAATAATAAAAATTTGTATTGTTTTTTTTACTGTAATTAATTATAAATTATTTTGAAACGTGTTTAAACTACACTCGGAATAAATTGAGTAATCAATAAAACCACTGCCCCTGACATTGCACCTCCATTTCCCTTAAAAATGAAATATTGTATAGATTCCATGTGATAGACAGGTTATCATCTAATAGAGATGTGTTGAGTGCGATAAAATATCAGATTTACAGACATAGCTAAAGCATGCGGTTTAAACGTGCATTCCTGGAAATTCAATATTCGTATCTAAAGCTGAGCTAATTTACTAGATAATAATTACTTAAATGCAAGGTGCTGAAGTATTTTAAAAACAATACAAAAACAAAGAGTGATTTATTACAAAAGCAATAGTTCGCAAAACAATACCAATTCATTTATGGTCGGTATATTAAAACTATTAAAAGAAATGGATTATATTAAAGAAAATTAAAATTATTGAAGTCTTGAAGTCTTATATTATGTTCACACTTACAATGTCGAACCTGAATAACATATTTTTGTATGGATTTTGTATTAAAAATGAAACGTATATCGAGTTTGCAATATTGTAAACGTAATGTTAATTCATAAGTAAGATTCCGTTTCCATCAGAATATAGAAATGAATATACTAGAAGCGATTTAGTTATTACTATGACCGGATATTATAAAAATATTTCATTGATTTAATTTTTCAATCATTCGAATTTGGAATTTCAAATTAAGTAGTTCCTGTTACAAGAATTTTTATGTATATAATATCACCCATATGGAATATATCGTGCTGTTGTGTCAAATATCCATTTTATCATTGGATATGCAATCTCAGAAATTTTGTGATCTTAAATGCAGTTCCCAATTATAATCATATGTTTCCTTTGTCGACTATTCTGGAACAGTTTGATACATAATGAGGAAATGTCGATAGTCGGTTTAAAGATAATAAATTATATATTATATATTGAATTATTATTCGTACAATTGCAAACGAATATACTGTCTTAAAGCTGTAGTGATTTGCAAAAGTTGCTACAATGACCTTCAATAAAAAGTATCTTACATACATTTTTTTGAGATCATTTTTATACCTAGTACGTCACAGAGAATATGCATCATAATTTTGAAAAATAAGATTAATATCATATGTAGCATTTTGTATATTTATAAGTGCGAAGATGTCAATGGAGAGGGAACAGCTGTTTAAAAATGTATGCAGTAATTTATTAACGAAAATCTTTTTCTTTTATATGGAGAATGATTAATACAGCATATGATACTAGCAAACACTCCATATTAATAATATTCATTTTATTTAAATATAGAAATATAATATAAAAATACAAATAAAGAAAGAAGAAAAACTTAATCGTTTTTATAAATAATATTAATTGAATTAATGACTTCTAAACTTTTTAGTCAGATATCTAAACGTAAAGATATATTTACTTCTGCTTTAGAATAACAAAAATGGGCCTCATTATACCCATAATTACCTAAGAATATGGAATTTCAAAAGCTAACAGTGACCACGAAAATCTCGAGAGGTAAAAGAAGAACCACCCTGCAAAAACCATGGCGCTGCAAAATGAAGAGCTCAAAAAAATAGCTATATAAATGATACATTGCACTTTGAATAGTGAAAAGGCTATTGCAGTTTACAAAGAAGCGTTTGTGGCTATCATTGGCGCAACGGTGAAGATTCTCCTTCACTTCAATGATCAGTGCTCGCGGTTCAGGAAAATGATCAATCTCTTATACGCTGATGAGTCCAAAACCTTCAATGGTACTGGGTGTGATTGGTACTTTGACGATAATATCAAGATTTCTTCTTCCACAGAAAGTATGATGATCATCATCTTAGCAGAAATGTTTTCCATGCTGCATGAGACTTGTTGGATTATCGAAAAATGACGTGGGAAGTATATTGGTATTTGCTGTGACAGTCAGGCGTCACTAAAAACTCTTTTTAACCTTGTCAGCTCTTTAGAAATAATCAATGAATTCAAAATGAGCTGTGTTGCAAAACACAATTAATTACATCTTATATGGGTTTAGCGTTACTGTGTTATCGTAGGAAATAAATAGGCTAATTATATGGCCAATGAGGGCTAAGACACCTATGAGACCAGAACCAATTTTAAGCATCAGCTTTGCAGGCATTCTTTCTTGGGTCAATGACTTTTGAGCTCTGTTCATGAGAGACGATGGTCCACAACATACTTGTGTGAAGTGGTGAAATATTTTGCGAAAGAGCTTAACAAAAAATTAGTGAAATATTGCTTACTACTAGCAGAAAGAACCCCTCAAGTTACTGATCACGTGGTCACAGTAGACGTGACCTATTTTGAGGAAGAAGAAGACCTAGAACAGCTTCTCTGTAATTGTTCTGTATTTGTAAGTACGAGGCTCAGATTGTTAGGTCATGATGTGGTGGACATGAAAAATGTGGATTCTCTCCCTTTTTTTTTTTCCTTGTCTTTATTCTGTCCTATTGGATTGTGATTTGAAACAGTCTAGATGATGTTGTGAAGTTAGTTTCTTAATGAAATACACTTCGTCAAGAGAGTGATCAGTAAAGTTGAAAAGAAAAACAAAATGAACTTTCTTTAAATTATACAACAAAACAAGTTAGAATTATAAAAGCACTTTATAGTGTGTTCAAGTTGACAACAATGCATTATAATTTAAGTGCAATATATCTTTACAGAATCAATTTTTTATGAGTTACTACCTCACTATTAAATTACAAAGTTAATTGTTATTACAGTCATAAAAGCAATTAAAAATGTATAAACAAAAATTTACTGGAAAATGAAAAGCGAATTTACAAGTTTTTTCCCTCATGTAAACTTCTGTTTTTAACATTTTGTTATTAAATAAAATAAAAATTGCAACAAATTGAAATCCCCTTCAGTGCACTGCTCGTATCTGATAAAAACTGATATAAACTCAGATGCAAGTAGATATCTCGTTTGTATTCATCTGACAAGTGCGGTTTGATTTGAAGCTTTGCTGTCAGTGATGTGATCTCTTGAGTGTAGTTCTATAAAAATCATACTAAGATAATCGCATAAACGTACTAAAAAAGCTACAATTTGCGTTTATAAAACACGAAAACAGTATTTTGATGGCAAGCCTTTTGAATTATTAGCACAACCCCTTTTCCTATTCCAATTGTTATGCAATTTACAAATCACCCTCACACTTTCAATTGTTTTAAGCGAAAATATTAAATTTTTTCCTACTACAGTAGAGTTCACCTCAGCTCGTATCTCATGCAACAATTTTTTTTTTAGATTTTAGATACTTTTTGTTGTTTGAATTGAAAGCGACCTTAACCAAGGCATAGTATGTATAGTTAGTATTAAATTACTTTAGTTAAACAAAACAATGCGAATTAGCACTGTTATGAGTTTTTAAACAATTGATCCAACCATTTGCTTCCGTTTTATTTTTTATATAATTTAAAAATAATTCTGTAAATTACATATTAAACATTTTATTTTAGCTTATAAAACTTAATTTGTTACGATTTTCCGATTATTAGATATCTGACTATTACATCTGAATATTATTAAACAAAGGCATTTGCGTGTTAGTAATCATATTGTTTTAGCTTTTATTTAGTAAGAATCTGGCAAAATCATAAGAAAAACACATAAAAAGTGTAATCATTTTGACTTGACTTAAAAGTCAATTACTTCCTTAAGAAACGCCGAATCGGTTGTAAACGATTTATCTATAATATTTAGAGTTTTTATTATGTTTAGAGTATTTAATAGATATTCGAGCAGGATTAGATATAGTATACTTAATTATTATTATTGAAAAGAAGAGATAGTGCACTGCGATCTAAAAGATCTA